GCCGGGTGAGGGGCGGGGGCCGGCCGTCGGCACAGCGCACGTCGGATGTGTCCTTCTGGATCAGGGCCTGGACAAAGGTCAGCGACTGCTCCAGGGCGTAGGTGTCCCGGGAGCAGGTGTCCAGGATGCGGGCCCCCAAGGTCAGGTTGGGAAGCAGCTGGGGGTCTGCATTGATCTGGTCCAGGGCGTAGAGCATGGCCTCCATGCGATGGATCCCCTTCTCCTTCTTCACCTCGCCACACGGCACCCCGGCCGGGCCCCGGGCGTGCACTGGGAAGAGCCCTCCCAGGGTCACGTCCCCCTCGATCCTGATGGAGAAGGGCTGGGTGCCTTGCTGGGTCCCTGCCCCCCAGATCCCCAGCAGCAGCAGGAGGAGGGGCCAGCAGCCGGGGGGCCACGGCCGCTCCATGGTTGGACTGGCCCCAAGCACTTCACAGCCTGGAGGGGAAAGAGCGTGGGGGAAAGGGGCTAGCTCCAGCTGGTCGGTGCTGGGGGCCAGGGGCTGGTCTCTTGGCCATCGTGCCCGGGACACCTGGTTCGCCTGGATCCCAGGCAGGTGGTCAGTGCTGGCCCCTCCCCCCTGCAACTCCACAACCACCAGCCAGAGTGAGATCTTCCCAGCCGTAGCCCCGGAGAGTCGGGAACTGTGAGGAAGGACAGCTGGTCTGTCCTGGGGCGTTGCTAGTCAGCCAGCCCCACAGCCTCCATCCGTCTTCTGTTGGTCCATCCGTCCACCCACCCCACAGCCTCCATCCATCATCTGTCGGTCCATCCATCCATCCATCCATCCATCCATCCCCACAGCTTCCATCCGTCACCTGTCGGTCCATCCATCCATCCACCCCACAGCCTCCATCCATCATCTGTCCATCCATCCATCCATCCCCACAGCCTCCATCCAACCATCCATCCATCCATCCACCCCACAGCCTCCATCCATCATCTGTCGGTCCATCCATCCATCCATCCATCCATCCATCCATCCCACAGCCTCCATCCATCATCTGTCGGTCCATGCATCCATCCATCCACCCCACAGCCTCCATCCACCATCTGTCGGTCTATCCATCCCCACACCCACCGTCCATCCATCTATCCCCACACCCACTATCTATCCATCCCCACACCCACTGTCTGTCCATCCATCCCCCACCATCCATCCATCCATCCTCACACCCACTGTCTGGCCGTCCATTCCCACATCCACCATCTATCCATCCATCCAACCTCTATCCATCCATCCCTACACCTAGCATCTGTGTGTCCCTTCTTCCACTGCTCCCTCTGTCCATTTGTCCATCTGCACACAATCCATCCATCCTTCTGCCCTACCTCCCCACCATCCATCCATCCCCCCAGGCACTCCCTTCGTTCATACCTCCTCACACATCCAGCGGCTGTGGGATGAGTTGTAGGTGAGGCCTTTCCCCCCATCTCACCTCCCTCTGTCCATCTGTCTGTTGACTGATCTGTCCACCCCCCTTCCAAAGGTCTCGCTAATCTTTTCCATGCATGTGCAGAATAATGTTCTGTGCACCGAGGCACATGTGAATGTGCACCACCGGCAGAAACAGAACCCTCGCTGTGGGGGCTCTGCTAACCTGCCGGGCAGCACTGGAACTTCTGAGTGGCCGCAAGGCCCAGCTGCCAGGGAGTCCTGTCCCTTTCTTCCTTTCCCACCCTCCTACCTGGGCCCGCCCCTTCCAGACAGCCCTGCCCCCTCCCACACCTTGAGGCCCCCCCAGGGTAGGACTGAGCAAATCTGGTCTCCTCCCAATCCAGGATGGATGTCTGGGGGCAGAGGCTGCGCTGGGAGGCTCTGGTCAGACTCCCATAATGTACTGGGGCTGGTGCTACAGATAGGCGGATCCCCCAACCTCTCCCCAGGCTCTCAACATCTTCCTCCAGTTTGACCCCCTGAATCCTCAGGCCCCCGACATTTCCCCGGATCGAACCCCTGCAACCTCCACACCTGCCCAATTGACCCCCAGACTCCCACCTCCCTCACCACGATCCTCCCACATCTCCCCGGAACACCCCCCCATCTGCCTGATTGGCCCCGATGTCGTCTTCAAATGAACCCTCTCACCCCGAGTCGCCCCAAGCCAACCCCCCCTCTCTCCATGTCTCCCTT